CAAAAACCTCTGCTGAGCTGGCGCGCTCCTTTGCGCTGGAGTGCCTGGGAAGGAGAGCCCATGCTTTCCCCATCTCTCTCTGCATCTGGTTTCTTGACCTACCTCGCCACTGGAACTGTCCCCACTGAGGCCACCGGGGGCCTTCAGCGTTCCCAGTAGGGCAGAAGTTTTTCAGTTCGAACCCCACTACATCCGCTCCGACTTTGAATGTGCCACCGTTCTCCTCAGGACTACTTTTAGGGCTTTGTCTGTTAACTGCAACATCTGGCCATTTCCACACGGCCGTTCCTGCGGCCAGCCTTCTTCCGGTGTTAGATAGAGTACGCTTCCCTGTCTCTTGGCTCGTCTCATAAATGTTTGTTAGAAACTGGACATTTTAGATAATGCAGTAACTCTGGCTACTGGTAACCTTCCTCTGGGCTGACTGTTATTTGTTTATTTGTTTAGTGACCAACAGGCTTATGTTTATGAACCCCGCCCGCCCATCCTCACTCCCCTGGAGTGTCAAACCTCTGATGTCTGAGGTATGCCCACAGTCACCAGGTGGCAGTGATTTAGGCCAAGCTTTCTTCATCTTTCCCTGACCACACCCAGCTGTTAAGCTCCCCTGAGTGCCGGCCGATTGCCCTGCAGTACAAAAATGCCCTTTTGTGCTTCTCTGAGGGAGTCGCTCCAGTTCTGACCTCAGGAGAGCTCCTCCCAGCTGTGCCTCTCCCTGGTTCTCTTGCAAACTAGTTGCTGATACTTCAGCCTGTGTCTTCATTGAATCGGCCATCTCCTCCCTGTGGCCTTTCGCCGTGGCCCCCACTGCTTTCCAGAGCACCTTTAGGCTCGTCTTAATCTACCCTCTGTCGCGCATGAAGTCAGTTCCTTTGGGAAGAGATTAGAGATTAGGACCTGTTTTGATAGTCTGCTTTTGTCCTTAGGCAAAATCTCAGAGCTGGAACTCTGTAGCTGCCGTGAGAACAATGATGTGCTTCTATCTGAGTGACATCCCAGTTTAGGAGTCGAGCTCGCGCTGGATGGAGGTGGTACCCTTGGATCTTCTTGGTTTACCTCTCCTAGCATGGAACCAACACCTTTATACACCAGGGCGGGGATGACTAAGGCCCCAGTGTCTTCAGTGACACCATGCCAAGGAAAGCTACTGTTCCGTGATTGAGGACTGGGGCCCAGGAAGAAGCCGCCGACAGGGAGCTGAGGGGAGGGAGCCCCGTGGTCTTGGCTGTACCAGTCTCCAGCGGGGCTTTTTCTCAATGAGCTGAGATGGGGAGAGAGGAAGCAGTTTGGGCTCAAATACCAGACTCTGACCAAATTTTGGGAGATTTCCTTGAATAGATGTTTCTTCCTTTGCAGTTTACCTTTAGGGCCATTTCCAGGCTCTTTAAATGGCCTTCGTTTCGTAGTCATCCAGTTTCTGTGCAGTCCTCATGCTGTCATCCAGACATCCGCCTTCTGCAGTGGCTTTGCCGTCACTGTTGGTTGTCTTAAAATGCTATTGTTTGAATCAGGGAAATTTGAATACGAACTGGATATTTGGTGAATCTAAGGACTTGTTAACTTTTTTAGGTGTGATGATAGGATGCAGGTGATTTGCTTAAAATAATCGGGTCTGGTCTATAAGTGGGAGGGGTGGGGGGCCTACAGATGAGACAAGATCGGCAATGAGTTTATCATTATTATATTAATATTATATCAATTATTATTTATATGAGCAGCCAATGGCAGGCAGTTCATTACACTGTTCTGTTTGCTTTCGTATATGTTTAAAATTTCCCATAATAAAAAGTTAAAGTTATTTTTGTGTCTACGTGTGAAATATACCTCATTAGATTTTTTAGAAATCTAAGGTCATCATTAAGTTGAATTAAAATCTCGAAAAGCATAAAAACACACTTTTCACTTGTGATGTGGATTATGCTCTTATACAACGGAGAGATGAAAACTTTAAGTATCCTGTGTTCTGAAACAATCTTGTGTAAGCATCTTGGTAAAAGTATATTTTTACTAAAATCAGTTTATTTCTCGGTATCCGAAATGGCATGCATATCAAGCGAGTTCCTAATCAAAATGTATTAGATGTTGTAATTATGTGTCACGAGCTGGTGTTTTCATTTCCATCAAAACCATTTTTAGATGATTAATTATTTCGTGAAAAAAAGCCATGATGAAAATTGTTCCAGTTGTATTTCGAGAATTTATAAAGTGACAAATTTATGCACTGAATTGAAGCTGAGTAGAAACTGAGCTTGCAAAAGGAAAATACAGTTGATGACTAAAGTTTGAATATCAGCTGGGATGTTCTGGATCAGTCGAAACACGGATTAGCACTTGTGATTCAAACAATTAGATCCTAATGCTTTTCAAGATTGAAAAGGTTTCTTTTCTAATATTTTTTTATAGATCTATTATTGGGAAGTTTTTTTGCAATCTCTTGAGAATGTCAGTTACTTTAAAAAAGAGTTATTTGTTAGAAATGAGTAACTCCTTTTGACAGTAGATAATTTGCCTACTTATATCATGGTGTAATTGATAAAATTTTGCACAATTATAATTGGTCTTGGCGACAATAGGAAACAAAAATGTTAAAATGGTTTTTATCATTAATCTCAATTGTGCTGCCACAATATTGTATTTATTTTAACCCATTAACTATTTTAAAATAAACGATAGCGATTTAAAATTTTTCTACGATGCTTAAAACTGTTCATAGAAACTTTTCTGTTGTTTGTTTTTTAGTTTGGAATCCACGTTGAACCCATTTGCTTTCTTGGTTCTAAATATTTTTCAAATCTGTGTCCATCTCCCTGCTCCTGCTGCATACAGGTGGCCCGTATATCCTTGAGTAATGCTGTCTTCTGATTCTACCTCCCTGCCTCCCTTCTTGGGACCTTTAACTCAGCTTGCTGTCAATGTGATTTGTATAAAGTGGAGACCTGACCATATCTCTCTTCTGCTTCAAAAATTTCTCTGGGTTCTCTACGTCACCGAGTAATTTCTCAAGCGTGAGGACACGTATACAGGAAAGCCCGTTCTCCAGTCTGAGAAATACTGTGTTAGAAGTTCAAGTGTGACAGTCTAAGAGATTGCTAAATAATTATAAATACAGTGTGGGCACTGAACCCGAATGATGATACTTGGTTATAAGGGTCCAGAGGACAAAACATTCCTCATGGGTTTCTGGACGAGGGTGACAGAATGAACACATGCAACTAATTATGTTCCCTCCTGAAACCCCACTAAGATGCTAATAAAAGGGATTTTTAAAAGTATATCAGGTCAGGAAGGAGAGGATTGGCGACCACAGCAACCCAATTCCAGAAATTGAAAGCAGACGCATAAGAGGTAGCATCTCAAGATAGCCGAACGCTAAACTTTAACTGGAGAACCAAGAACCAAACCAATTTATATTTCAGAAACTTTGAAAGGGTTTGGAATATTTGGCGTTTTGGAAACAGGCTGATGGGGTGAATTATAAAGACGGGTAGAAATCTATTTAAGATGATTTCCTTCCACACGCTCTTCAGCCACTTGACAACCCCTCCCAACCCTGGCAAAAGATCAGAATGTTTTCCTGCTGGAAAGTTCAATCGAACCTTGGTTTGGAGAACACCAGGTGGTCTTGGCGATGTGGCGTGTTAATGAAGGGATGCATAATAAGGGAATGAACAGATGCTCAATGCCTTCTGCGAGGAGGGCCAGTGAGATAAATGGGTAGGAAATAAGAGAAAAAAATTAAGAAAAATTACAGGGTAAATGTGGGAGGCCCAATGCCCAAGTAATAGAAGTTCTGGACGGAGAGAGAGAGAGAGAGAGAGAGAGAGAGAGAAATGGAAAGGTACAAATCACCAATGAAAATAATCCCACAACATTTCCCAGCATTGAAGGCCACGAGTCTTCAGAATGAAGAGGCCCAGGATGCCCAGAGAAGAGTGACCAGATTCCAGAGAGAGAAAAGCAGGCCATGTGGAGCAGATCAGGAGTGGCTTTGGGTTTCTCGAAGGCGAAAGAAGAGGCTGGAGAGCAATGGGGCGATGTCTTGAAAAAGGCGAAGGGAAACCAGCTCCCATCTAGAATCAATACCCAGCTGACCTCGCAATGCAATGGAAGAACAGGTGTTTTCAGCGTTAACGGCTTTAAAAGTTTTCCTCTTCTACTCCCTTGCAGAAGGAAGCTACCAGAGGTCTCGCTCCACCAAAACGAGAGTGTGAACTAGGACGAAGACACCGAGTAAAGAAAAGAGACTTACACAGGAAGGAGTTGCCAGGGCGACAGTAGACAGGGCAGCAGACACGTGGGGCAGGTAAGGACAACCAGGGGGGTGCTGCAGGAGGTCAGACACGTGGGAGAGATTTCTTCCTCAAAATGATGAAATCCTGGTGTGAATCGACAGCTCGAATGGATAGTTAGGCAACTGGCAGAAATCTGACATAAAATGACTGATAACTATGTGGAAAGTAAAGCAAACCTCACAACATAGCGAGTTAACTCCATGGCCCAGCTGTGGCTAGCGGCTACAGAACCGTAATAATAGGAACTAAACAAAATTACTATATGATTAGGCTGGGAGGTAGGAAACGTGCATGTGTGTGGTGGGACAGCAGCGGGGGCAGCCGAATCCTGATGTCACAACTGCACATACCTGCCCCACCTCCCATCTGCTCTGCCTGGGTCCTCTGCGGGGCCCCCTGGGCTGCACTATCTCCTGGAGCACATAATCAGGCACCTCTCCTCTTCGCTGCTGTACCCTGGTGGGAGTCCCTCCCTCCTCCCCCGCCTCTGCACCAAAGCAAATCAAGTCCTTACCTGCTTCCTCCCCCATGAACCCCACAGTGGAGCCCCACCTGCTGGCCTCCCTGGCTGCTGTGTTACTTCAGAGAGGGGACTGGGGAGAGAGAGAGGCAGCGCCAGCTCCCGCCTTCCTCCCGAATCCCTGATTAGACAAAGGAGGAGGGACGGATGGCAAGGAAGGAGATCCTTCCAGATGCGTCTGAGCAGACCTATGAAAGGTGGAAGCGTAGATGCTGGAGAGGGTGGGTCGCAAAGCCCACATGTCGGCTTCACTGTCGTTGGCTCTGTGGGCTGGGACAAATTCTTCAAACTCCATGTCTCAGTTTCCCCATCTGGAACATGCAGATGATAGAGCACCAGCTTCATAAATCGCTCTGCTCGCTCCACGTTCTGGAAAGGCAGGAAGCACTATGTAAACACTGGCTGTTATGGCCCTGTGCGGGCTAAGTGATGTGTTGGGGACAGACACTGGACCATGAGAAAGACCAGGACCTTTTTGGTTGAAACACTGTATCTGCCCACACTGCCAGTCATTGTGCAGTGCGATAGCAACGCTACCCCGTGTCACCAGACGCGTTGCTGGTGGAGATGGCTGCAAGTCCTCCCATCCTTGAATGCATATACTCCTCTCGACAAGAGGTCCAGTCTGTTTCCCCACCTTTGGTTCCGGACTGGCCTTGTGACTTTCTTTGGCCAACTGACCTCAAGTGGCTTTGTAGCTTCTGCTTGTGTGTCCTAGGAACCCTCTGCCGCCATGTTCTAGAGCTCCGTCTAGCCTCCGGGGGATGAGATGCTGCCTGGAGGAGAACCGAGGTGCCCAGCTGAGAGCTGGTGTGAACTACCAGACGGAAGGGTGAGGCCACCTTGGACCATTCGGCCCTGGATGTCTGCAGCTGCATGGGTGACCCCAGGCCAGAGCGGAGGGAAGCTGATCCCAGCCCTGACTGCTGGTCCATAAAATCTCGAGCAAATACATGGTCATTTTTTTTTTCAGCCCGCAGATCGTGGAAGACCCGGAAGGTACCTTCACAGGTAGCCGTGGCACCTGCTGCCTGGGCTTCAACAGAGGGCCCATGGGGGGCTGTTTCTCCACCCCTCGCTCACAGATGTGGAAATCGTTATTTCCTACATCACTTCTCAGATCCTAGATGCCTGGCCTGGTTGCTGAGGACATACAAGGCTCTAAGCAGGCCAAAAAGAATGGCTCATTTAGGATTGCACATCCAGAGGGAGGAAAATCAGACTGAACTCCCCACTGTCACCCACTGATGGAGAAAGAGAGAAGGACCAGAAGGGAACTCAACCAGCGCTAAGACTCCTTTCAAGGAGGTTATAGATAATGTGCTAACGCAGTTAGGTTCATTTGATTCTCTTTGTCTTCCATTTTAGGATGTTTTCCCCTCCTCCTGGTTGATTTTATTTCAAGTATATAAGGAACAAAGGCAAAACCATGCAAAAAAGTACACTCAGAGAAGTGACATGCCCTGCCCCCGCCTTCCAGCCCTGCCGCCTTGTTCCTGGTCACGCCTGTAGGTGACTAATCCCACTGGTTTTAGGTATCTTTTCCTCATGTTTCTTTTTTGCAGAAATAAGCAGATACACGCATACTTCCTTATTTTTCTTCTTTCCTACGTAAAAAGGTATAAATACCCTAAAATCTCTTTTGTCTTTACTTTTTGGTTGTTTTTGAGTCTCGCTTTTTTTTTTTTAACTTACTATATCTTAGTAACCGCCCCTGTCAGCTCATGTTTTTCCATCCTGTCTTGGGACCATTCTTCGCATTTACATCTCTTATGCGTAAGAATCGTAAGTTTCCAATATCTTGCATCTTCAGACCCTACCACAGTGAACAACCTTGTGTGTATTTATTTTTGTATCGTTGGAGATAGGTCTTCGGGGTGAATTCCTAGAGAAGGGATTTTTTTTTTGGTCGAGTGGTAAACACATACATAGTTTTGTTTGAGCCTGTCGAAGTCCGCTCCCCAGGAGCTGCACCCATTTGCAGTCCCACGGCTGCCATAGAAGACCCCATTTCTCGAAGCCACAACACAATGGTCGTCAAGCTTCTTAATTTTTGCCAATCAGATGGGTGAAACATACTATCTCAGAGTAATTTCAATTTGTATTTCTCTTGTTACCAGTCAACTTGAACATTTTTGCTTGTGGTTAAGGGGCACGTTTATATCTTTTTTCGAAGGCATTGTTGCTGTTTGTGTTTTGCGCCCATTTTTTCTTTTGGGTTTTTCGTCTTATTTCTTTCCATTACTGAGCCTTTTATATATTAGAGATATTAACTCTTAATCCATGATCTACATGGCAAACTTTTTTTTTTTTCAGTTTTTAAATTTATCTTTGGCCTTGTGATTTTCTGCCAGACAAAATTTTACCATTTTTATGTAGTCGGATTTATCCATCCTTTTTTATTTTATTTTATTATTATTTTTTTAGGCAAGGCAACCCTTGGTTGACCTCACAGATTGCAAGGACCTTGTCAGTTTACAATCCCTTTTTTTTTATTTTTTACACCTATAGCATCTGGTCTTCCTAGGTGGTCTCCCATCTAAGTACTAACCAGGCCCGACCCTGCTGAGCTTCCGAGATCAGACGGGA